CCCTGCATAGACAGCAAGGGTACTACCACGTTCAAGGCCCAGAAACGTAGTAAGGACATCGATAAAACAGTCCACCAACTTTAATTTTATGAAGCCATGAGAATACTTTTTGTGCGCAAAGAAAACAAAAATAACGACTTTATTCAACAATCCGTCTCCTCCGTGTCACCGTAGCGCCATTTTGGAGAGTATCTACTGAACGCAAACAGCGTATGTTTGTTCTGTGTCAGCTGCGTCACGTTGATACGTTGTTTTATGTTCAAATCAAAGCACAAACAACGTAGAAAATGTATCCGCGTGGCGCAGCTGACACAGAATAGCATACATACTGTATATATACAGTATGTGTGTGTGTGTGTGTGTGAACGCATGTATATTCATTTTTTACTTCCAATCATTACAAATATCCATAGTCCTTTATCCATGATATTGCTTTCTCCAGCGAAAAATGTGTCTCGTCTGAATCAGGAGAGAAATATGAACAGATAAAGCACAGTTTACAAGCGAAAACAGTCCAAAACAGTCCTTAACAAATATGTTGGTGTATTTTGATGTGAGAGGATGGCAAAAGGGGATAGACTTTTTCACTTGAATTTAATTAATTTAATTAATAATTAATTGATGCATTTAGCAGACGCTTTCATCCAAAGCGACTTACAGTGCATTCAGGCTATACATTTTTTACCAGTATGTGTGTTCCCTGGGAATTGAACACACGACCTTTTGCGCTACTAACGCAATGCTCTACCACTGAGCCACAGGAACACTATAGATCTATAGATCTGTGCATTAGTGTGAATGCAGTTTATTAAAGCTGCCACAGTGTGTGATCTCATCAGTAATAATCAAATGGCAATAATGCTGAAATAAAAACTAAAAACTATGATTATCTGTAAACTTTCAATACTTAAAGCACTCTTGATACTAAAAGTGCTTATCACTTGTCACTTGTAATTGTCAATATCTGCTTGTATGTTTTGAAGCTATATTTACTTTAATTCTTAACAATAATTAATATATTAATTAACGTAATTAATTAATTTAAGAAGTAGCCTGCTTATATAATTTAATAAAAATGCACAAAATAAATTTGATATAATCGTGATGCATCGTGATATCGAATTGAATCGAATCATTGACATGATAATTGTAATCGAATTGAATCATGAATCCAGTGCTTATTCACACCCCTACTGTCATTAATTACTCACCCTCATGTCTTTCCAAACCCGTAAGACCTTCGTTCATCTTCGGAACACAAATTAAGATATTTTTGATTAAATCTGAGCGCTCTCTGACCCTGCATGCGCGCGCTTTCCCCTGAACGTAAACAACACTGATTACGCATGCGTCATGCTACTCTCCAAAATGGCGGAAGGAGGTAACTCAGGGGAGAAGAAATGTTGAATAAAGTCGTTATTTTTGTTTTCTTTGCGCACAAAAAGTATTCTCATGGCTTCATAAAATTAAAGTTGGTGGACTGTTTTATCGATGTCCTTACTACGTTTCTGGGCCTTGAACGTGGTAGTACCCTTGCTGTCTATGCAGGGTCAGAGAGCTCTCGGATTTCATCAAAAATATCTTAATTTGTGTTCTGAAGATGAACGAAGGTCTTACGGGTTTGAAACGACATGAGGGTGAGTAATAAATTACGGAATATTCATTTTTGGGCAAACTATCCCTTTAACAATAACAACACTGGCATATGATACAGTATTACAAAACATAATAACGTACTACAAGTGAGAAGCGACTGGTTAATAAGCACCAGTGAATGATCTCAAAAACAACAGTTTCTTCTGTTTTTCTTCTGCTAATCTGCTGTTTGGTCCAGTCTCGCAGGTGCACGAGGAGCTTGTTTTGTTTAACGGACGCTGGGCGGCAGATGCTGATCGGAGTCCCCTGATAGCAAATTAAGGTCATCTGGCTGTTGTTCTCGTTTTCACCAGCACTCAGAGAAGCACTTAAGAGGTTAATCACGCTTCTCCAATTAATTACCGCACAAATCTGATCAAGATTTACTGCTCGTGCTGAGGATTGAACATAATAGACAGCTGCACAATTCACTGTTGTGCTTAGTAGTGGTAGTAGAGTAGCATTTCAAGATGGTGACTTCTGCGTTCCCAGTCATCCTGTTCGTCTTGTTTTGTAAGATTGTGTCATGAAATAAACCGGATGACCCTCTGTCTACAGAAGATTTGCAGTTTGCTAGTGTAGTGCGGTGCTGTGATTTACTCCTGAGCTCTGGACGTCTCGTTAAACAGCTCCCGCTGTGACCGCGGCCGAGGTGGTAATTGCTTTAAGAAGCGCGGATGAAGCCTGTAATGCTTCCCTTCCCAGCGGAAAACATCCTGCTTCATCCAGAGCCTTCTGGAAGCACATCTTCCTATAAATGCATAAAGGGGCTACAGCTGAATATTGGTAATTTTACCGCATTTATGTCTGCTTTGTTTATATTGCTGCTGAGATGCTTGATTTCTGAGACCTATAGTTTTTTATCTCATGTTCATTTAAAAAAAAAAAGAATTAAGTTCACATTTTATATGGATGTTTAATAAATTAATTTATTAATTTATTTAAATAAATTTAAATATGTATTAAAAGTATTTAAAAATACAATATTGAATGTTTCCATAATTTAATAATTTTTAAAAAATAAATACAATTAATTTTGTAATGTCATTTACATATGCAGTATTTAAAAATACAATATTTAATGTTTCCATAATTTAATAATTTTAAAAAAATAAATACAATTAATTTTGTAATGTAATTTACATATGCATAGGCTAATAAAGTTAGTTTTTGACATAACAAATTGCACATTAAAATATAAAATTATTAAATTAATTTTATGATAATAACAATACTACTACTACTACTACTACTACTAATAATTATTATTATTAGGTTATGTGTTTTCATAGGCTAAAAAAGTAAATATTTCTTCAAATGTATTAATATAAAAATATATAAATATTATAAATTTGTAATAATAAAACACGTTACATATATTATGTTATTATGTTTATTGTAATTTTATTTAATATGTATGTAGAGTTAGTTTATGTTTGTTTAATTTGAAGTTAAATGTATTCATATTTTTAATTATATATATTACGAAT